TAAATTCTTTTTATTCCCCAACTGACAAAATCCCTCAAATTTTGAATAATGCACAATTTTCGTAATGCTCCGCCTTCGTTGTTAAATTTTGCATACGCCACATTACAATTCAATAGCATATCGACACACGGAGAAACCGAAAAAAGAACTCCCGGGGAAACGAGTCTTAACTCTTCCACTGCTTAACTTTTGTACCGCTGGCAGGCTATGGGCGGGCCTTCGAATCAACGCCGATGGAAGGCAACCAACAGACAGTCGAGCTAGTTGAAGCGACCTTTGGCACATTTGCATTAAGTGCCACTTAACATGGAATTTCAATATTTTATGCAAAACATTTCAACCCAATGCCAAAAAGTAGCGAAGTTCACAGCTCTGTCATTGTTGTTGGCGTTGCTGTTGCTGTTTTTGGAGTCTCGTTGTCTCGGGGCATCGGTGGAAAGTTTCAATAACTTCTCCATTGCCGCACACGCATATATACTATATACGTACTATGTGTATGTATATCCATCAGTGAAAATCCCGTGAATCACTCATGTCAGTGATTCAACCTCCAACGCTGCTGCCAGCCTGCTTGCCCGCCTGTCTGTCTGCCTGGCTGGCTGGCTGGCTGAATGGCTGACTACTGCCTCTGTCTGGATTGACTGTCAACGGGATTTGCGCATTGACTGTAGCGCCACCAGTCAAACCCAACTCCAGCGCCAATCGCAATCTCAATCCCAATCCCAAACAACGAAATTTTCACACTTCCTTTTATCCATTTATTCGCGTATCGGTTAACACGCACTGAGAATTGGATTTTGTGTGCGTGTTGTGTGATGCGTGTGTTTCCTGTTGTTTTTATTTTTGCATTGCATTGAAGGAGTTGTTCCTGGGGCTGTTTCAGAAGTTTCGTTACTCGCGAAAAGTTTATAATACAATTTAGTAGTTTCATTTTGCGGTTCGTAACCACAGTATATTCAGATTGCAGCGATGCGAAAGAGCTTTTGGTTTGTTGTTTGCTTTCTGCTTATTATAATTAATTTGATAGCAATTTAAATAAAGCTATAGCTTAAACACGAGTATCAGTGCAAACATATTTTATACGTTTCAGATTGAAGATACGCTCTACCAAATGAAAATTGAACTGTTTTTTCCCTATAAATACGCCAAATTGTAATCTTTAATTTTATTTGCTTTAATGATTCAATATGTACATCAAATACAAGGAAGAATTTCACATTTTGTATTCACAGTCTATTTCAAATCTGAATTAAGTAAACTAAGAATGAATACAATGCAATAACCAAATGGGCTTCAGTCTCGAAACGAATGATTACTCTTTATAGCGATGCCAGAAAAATGGTTTCACGATGTTTTAGAAAGAAATGTGAAAAATGAGCTAAGTTTTTTATTCAGAAAGCGATGATTATGAAAGATTACTAATGATAGGCGAAGACGTAAACTGCAGCAAACTTTGTTATTAAAAAGTTATGTGGTTATTAAAGCATGCGTTTTTCATGTTCCGACTTTAGTCGGGCATTTAGAAAATGACACTACTATTGTGTTGTCATATATTTTAAGAATCTTGTTGGTTTCTTTTTAGTTGCGTTTGCTTACTTTCGTATCAAATTATAGCAACAAACCGTTTTTGGATTTAAGTCCATAGTGTTTTGTAATTTCAATAACGAACTTACCGGTGAAGTTCCTTCGTTGTCTTCTCGTTTATCTATATATTTTGCTGAGTTGCAGAGATTATGCAATGGAGCTTTGCGTAATTTCGCCATCAAATATTTAATGTAATTCTTTCGCGCAATGGAACAGGACTTAAGTCGAGCGCTAAGTTTTAAGTTCTCCACCTGGGGCTTAGCGCGGCCAGTGAAGCAAACGTCGAAAGGCAAACAAAGTTTTTTTGCCAGTCACCATTTAATTTAGTCAATTCAGCGCTACCTGAAATGAAATGCATGGAAAGCTTTCTAGCTTGAAAAAAGCACTGAAGCAGCCAAGTCAGAAGTCAAGTCAACCAACATGGCGTTTCGTTTCATTGCACTGTGCGCCGCAAAGTATGCAGCGTGCAGCTGAAATTTTTATGAGCATGCTTTCGACTACCGCTCGACTCCAGCCACGCACCGGTAGCCCCCTTCTCCATTCTCCATTCCCTATTCCTTATTTCCCATTCCTCAACCCAACACCACCACCATTTGGCAAGCGTGCGAAAATTGCACAAAATCAACAGAAAATTTACTTAACTTTGACTGCAGCGACTTTTCAGCTGATTAAAATATCATCAGCATAGAAATGCGAGTTGAATGATGGATGGAGGGGGATTGGAAGTAGAAGTGCGCGAGGTCAAAAGAATGTGTAATTTGCATTTTTCACATTACTTTACTAAATGCCTTGGCTTAGTTGTAATTTTTGAACAGCCTCGAAGGCTTACGCGCCAACTGGCGCCAGTCTTCAAGCACGCACTCTTACGAGCATGCATCCGTTTGGTGACTTCCATGCCAAGCAGCTCACCTACAATTGTTCCTCTTCGAACCAGTTACCAGCATTTTCTTTTAATTGATTCAAAATCAATTGTGTAGTAGTTTATAAATGTTTTTGTTGATGCAAAAAGGCTCCAATCTAAAAGGTATATAAGGATTAGGAATAATAAGTGGCAAACAATAAATTACACATTATTTTGTTGTGTTGAGCTTTTATTGGCTTAGAGTCAAGTAGTATTAAATCCAAAATATATGTACTTGAAAATTTCTACAAATTTGCTTGTATTTCGAAGACTCTTCAAAGAGATTTCATAGGTTGTCGATATTGATCGTGATATTATTACACTGCTATCTGCTTCAATGGTCAATTGAACTTTCTGGCTTCCTTCGGATAAATAAATTAGTTCTAATTGTATACTAGTTCGCCGAACCTTTCGGGAGGACAGCACCACATGTTCAAAGGCCTTGTGCTGATTTCACTTTGTGTTTACCTTTAATGAAGTTTTGCGTGAATTTCGCTTTGAAGTTCGCTTTGAAAGTACGGACCAGCAATTAAGTTAAAAACCGTAGCCTTGCCTTGGCATGCATGCTAACTGGGACCCATTTCTCGTATCTAAGCCTGCCCGTTAGGCAGCCGACACATGGCTTGCTCCAATATTTAACCTCTTTGTTGCCATAAAACAAACGCTGGTCGAAACAAATTTCATGCACCTCGGGAGGCACTAAATCAGTGCAATTTTCATATCGCCAAACATTATTCACCAATCCTTGTTTGCTTTCTGTGTGAGTGTGAGTGTGTGTGTGCGTGTAGTTTTATTCTTTTTCTTTTTCTTTGAATATTGTTGTGCAATTTCGAATACATTACATAGAATTTGCAGGCAAACTTTATGTGCACTTAAAATTGAAGCTGAAATACGAGCAGGCAATAGCATTTTGTGCATTGTCCCAAGAAGCTTCGGACTGCACCACAAAATTGTAGAACCGTGATTCTCGACCCGTTCCCTGGTGCTGTTTGTGTTTCTGCATTTCCACAAATACTACTTTAGAAAAATGTAAATTTATTGTGGCAACCATTTGTAGAGGCAGCAACAACAAGCAGACAAAACTGCCAACGTCCTGGTAAACACACATATATAAGCATTTCTACGTTTTTGGCACATAAGCGAGAATGTGCTGTTCAGTGAACGAAAAGGTAGAGTTGCGTATTTCTGGGCATACCTTGAAAAGCAGGCAGGTGATAAAAATACTAAAATAAAAGTGTCCTACCATTGGCGTACCTTCATTATAGCTTATTTGTTCAATATCTATTATGTATATAAATGATACTACTAGGAAATAGGTGGGAAACGGGGCTCACAAGATCTTCATTTTGGTACCAACACAATATTAATAATTTTAAAAAACTAATAAAAATGTTCTTTAAATACCTAAAGCAACCCACAGCGGTGCCTTCATACAAAACAACAGCAGTCCAAAAACTAAACAGTTTAAATATAAATTTTAAACACACACTGATAAAAAAGTGGCATAGTACAGATGAATATTTTCATATTAAATTAAATTTCTACTATTTTATATTCCAATCAAATATAAACATCGTAAATTTTACTAAAAACATATTTAATTAGTGATTTTAATATAAATAATATTCAAAACAAAGTGTAAAATTTTGTTATTAAAGTGTGTCATATTCAGTTTAATGTTAAACCATATGAAATATTAATAAGCACACACTTTACTGCACGGAATGCACGCATTCTTCTTCTTCTTTTGCGTTCTTTTCGCAAATAATGCATACACACAGCGATATGTATCGATATTCTTTATGACGCGCGTCGGTCAATTGTGAGTTGATTTTTGTCAAAGACGGACGTGTGCCAAAGTAATTAATTGAATTATAGTGAAAAAAAAAACATAATAAAATAGTGATTGTGTTGGAATAAATTGATCTGCGTAAGTATGAACATTTACATATGTATAATATATTTGTACGCGTACACACATACATACAAAATTGCCATTTATAGTTTCTTGCATCGTGTCCGCAAGAAACATAATTTTGTATACAACATATTACGTGGTAGCCTACATACAAACATATGTATGTGCATATAGCGTAAATGTCGTCGTAATTGTGACTAAATAAAGAAGTTAAAATATGTAAAGCTTCAAATGTGTGATATAGTTGTTATTTGGGTACATATATATGTATGTATATACATACATATATGCATATATTGTGTACGTAGATGCATATGAAAAAAAGAACAAAATATACAGTTTCATACGCATGCCACTGCATAGCAACCTATTTTTCGCGGTAATCTGTACTTTCCGCGTAATCGCTATTTCTCTTTTGTCTCAGTGCAAGAAGCGACGCGTCATTCAATAGTGTACAGATTTTTGTGAAAAATGAACGCGCTTGACCATATGCATATAGTTATGTATTTACATACATATATTGGCAATTAATAACTGCTGTACATGCTTAATTGACTCACATTATAAGTCTTCAAATAATTCATTTTTTTATAAATTCCTAAAAATATATGTACTTATAATTGAACATACGTACATTAATACGAGTATGTATGCGTGTGTAGGCAATGCAAAATGTGATCATTTATTTAGCATGTAACCATGCACAAACGTGGTTGTGCTATTTACTGCTTAACCTTTGAATATGTGTATACATATGTATGTACGCATAATAAATGCTGAATAATAACTTGGTGTAATTAGTATTTATTAATTGTTTGATTTTAGGTTATGCGCGAAGTTTAGCAGAATAGAAGAGGAATCACTTAATAGCAGTGAAGCAGACACATTTCAGGATCCTGTTGATGAAACACTTCATAATGCATTGAAGACTGCCTTGAAGAGAGAAGTTTCGGATTGGAATGCAGTACTTGATAAGTGGTCAAAAACTTATGAATTGCGTCGTAAAGAATCCCAAACCTTGAATGCATGCGAATTTTTGCAAGAATGGCCGAAGTATACCGATTCTCGTGCAGTGGATTTGGTAAGATTCCAGGCCTTCCAAATGTTTAGTTCTTCAGTTATATTTTTAGTTTTATTTGAGCTTTTTAACTTCAGCTTTACCCATATTACATTTTTTGAAATCATCCAACATTTACAAGATTATTTTATACGTAAATCATTGAAGTTTTTTTTTTAAATTATGTTTTGCAGATCAAGCTTGATTTTACAATTGCGTATCCAGGAAAAGAATCTATTTTATTATCTAAATGGGATAATTTTAAAAAGAAAATAGTTATATACTATAAGGAAAATATTCACAATGCTACATGTAAACATTTATTGGAACAAGTTCAGTCGGCGGAATCTATTGGTAATTTTATATATTATTGCTGTGCTTGAATTATTGATTACAATTAAAAATATATTTCACTGATATTTTAGATTCTTCGGACTACATAATAACAGCTCTTCTACCGTCGGTCTTACCTTCTAACAGTTGGCATTCATCTAAATCAAAGACTTCAAGAACACGGGTAACTTTATTGGACTCACAGGAAAGTCTCGTGCTTCGTTTGGATACAATTGGGGACTACGAGCGTAAAGTAAACAATCTTATTTGCAAAAATTACGGTAATTCAAATACACTTCAACCTTTTATCATTGTGGAAGGCGTGAACTCCAACGATATAAAGTCGTTCTTTGTATACTTTGATAAAACAATATACAAATTAGATTCATTTATTGATTGTTTGGATGTTTGCTTCAAACTTTTTAACACCCTAAATCTGCATTATCCAATAGCTTCGAAGTTTCCATGGCTATTCATACAAAAATACTTTTATGAAATTGACACGCCTTATGATGTAAAGTCTGCAAACTTAACTGCTTTATTAAGTTTTATGAGAAAGTGAAAATAAAACATTGCTGTAAAAATGTTTCCATGCTTTCGATGTAACAAAAAATTTAACACTGCGGATTTATTAATCCATCATTTACAAAATGATCATGTTTTAAAAAAGCCTGGGTTCTGTGACCCGTTACAATGCAAAATTAACAATTGCAATCAATTATTTTTGAAATATTGTATATTTAGAAAACATTTATGTAAGACACATGAAAATGCGATTGGTGACTCCTTTTATGAAGATTTTGTTTCTCAAAATATGGTTAACCCGGATTTCCATTCACATGAAATACAAATTGAAAAAGCCTGTTTAGTAAAATATAATAGTTTTGATTTAGACGACAGTTTTAATATCCAGGAATATATAACAGATCTAAAAAAAAATGTCTTCAATTAACACTTGGGCTGCATTCTAAATGTTTCATGCCTAGAAATGAAGTAACTGCTATTCAATACCTGATAACTAAATTGGTTTCGCCTATCTCCAAAGCTCTCAATTATTACAGCGCATGCAATTCTGAAACTAAAGAAGCACTCGAATGCATTACTTCCTTTTTAACCAGCCCGTTTGAGGAAATAAAATCGGAATACCGGCTTTTTAAATTTTTAAAAGAAATGCATTTATTTGAAGATCCCAAGTCATTTACTGTATCAAATAAAATCGGCCCTAAATTTAAAAAAGGAAATGCATCTCTTTTCCCGAATAAAATAGATATCCATATTATGCCTATAAAATTTCAAATTAAATCATTTTTTGAACTTCCTAATGTTTTGAATCTAACACTTCAAAATAAAAAATTACTTCAAAATCAAGGTAACCTTATTAACTTTGTAAATTCTGAAACATTTGCAAACAAACTGCAGAATTTTCTTCCTGATGACATTGTGATTACATTTTTTCTGTATTTTGATGACTTTCAAATAAACAATGCTTTAGGAGCTCATGTATCTTCTATATGTGGCTGCTATTATTCATTTCCAACCTTGCCTCAGCATTTATTATCCAAATTAGATTTCATTTTCCCGTTTGCATATATTCCATCACATGCATTGAAAAGAAATGACCATGAAATCATTTTTAACCACTTATTTCGTGAGCTTGAAGAATTAGAAAATGGAATTGAAATACAAATACCTGAAGGATCAAAACAAATATATTTTGTTTTAGGCCTTATTTTAGGAGATAACTTAGGATTGAATTCTATATTTGGTTTTGTTCAATCATTTAAGGCTAAGCGATTTTGTCGAGTGTGTAAAAGAAGTAGCTTAGAAATGAAATCAGACAGTGAAGAGCACAAAGAGTATTTAAGAGATAAAAATTGTTATGAAAATGATTTGGAAGCAAATAATTTTTTAGAGACTGGTATTAAAACTGTTTGTATATTCAACGAACTAAAAAACTTCCACGTAACAGAAAACTTTTATTTTGATTTGATGCATGATGTTTTAGAAGGCGTATGTGTTTACGGTATTTGTCAAACCTTAAACGCTTTAATTAATGAAAAAATTGTATGTTTATCAACAATTAACAGTAGAAAAAATCTGTTTTCTTATGGCGAAATAGAAATAAAGAACTCGTCACGACCGCTAGAATTAACTAAACTTAAGAAAAATGAACTTAGAATGACAGCTAGTGAAAAATTTTGTTTCGCTAAGTTTTTGCCTTTAATAATCGGAGATCTGATTCCAGAAAGTATTCAGCATTGGATTTTATTTACAAAACTTTTGGAAATTATTGACATTCTGTTTCAAAATAAATTTACAACAAAAGATTTAAAAAACTTAGAAACAAAAATAAAAGTGCACCATGAGCTATATGTGAATTTGTATGGACCTACGCTAAAACCTAAACACCATTTTCTCGTGCATTACCCTACAGCTATTTTAAAATGCGGGCCTTTGAAATATGCATGGGTTATGCGGTTTGAGGCAAAACATAGAGCATCTAAAGCATATTTAGCTTCAATTACATCGAGAAAAAATGAATGTCGATCGGTAGCTATAAAACAGTGCCTTCATTTTTCATCTTGCTAAGTTATGAGTCAGGTATTCCACCATTATTTGATAAGTATAGCTTTACAGACAAATCTATAACAGACATACAATGTTTGGAAAATGTATGCTATTCAAAATTGTTTAAGTCCAATCACTTAAAATATTGTGAAAATTTAGAATTTAAAGGAGTTTTGTATAAAAAAAACTATTATTTAGGGAATAACGAAAATAATATCAAATTGTTTAAGTTGCTTTTCTTTTTTTATGAAGAAGCTCAAATCTACGCTGCTTGTAATGAAATAAAAGTTGAACGATTTTGTAAACATATGCAAGCTTATGAAGTTGGCCACAAAGATCGAACATTAATTATTAAGGATATAGAATATTTTACAAGCCACCCATTGCATGTATATTTGAATAACAACGGTAAAAGCTATGTAAAATATAGATCTATTTAAATTCTATTATTGTTATTACTATTATTATCATGTACTCTAAAAATTAATTGAGTTTGAATTAAAATAAAAATTCGATTATCGATAGTAAATAAATCGATAATTTATTCTTAATATGAAATTGTTTAATTTGACTATGGGAACACTTTGAATCAAATATTAAAAATATTAAAATCTAAAATGAAAATAGTTAATATTGAATATGAATCATATTCATAATTACTATTTTAACATTTGGATCTTAATATGTTCACATTTGGATTTTAATATGTTCACATCTAAAATTAAATATGAAAATAGTAAATATTTGAATATGACAGTATTCATAATTAATATGTTTACATTTTAATTTGAATATGTCAACACTTTAGATTAAATAGTCCAGCACTTCAAATTTACTACGAATATATTAAATTAAAAAATTAAGTGTGCACACTTCATATTTACTAAAACACACTGTAGTGAAAAATCGATGGTAAAAATAGTTAAATCTACGTGTAAATATTTAAATTTCGTTGCATTTTTTTATCAGTGCAGCTATGCACCAATAACAGGGGGTCTGTCACGGGTCCTTCTATCTGTTACATCCATTTGGTCTTTAGATTTTGTTGAATAGCCGTGCATTTTTATGTACAGGGTATACAAATAATAATTCCGCACAACTCTAGCATTTTTTGGTAAGATTGGCACTTGGCCTTTATATAATGTACTTATATGTGTAATCCAATCTATACAGAGACGGTAATCAACTGGATGGCTAATTCAGCTATAAAATCATGTACATTTAGTATTCATTGAACTTTGAAAAGTGCCTGGCAATACAAATTGTTCATATTAATCCAAATACTTGGTTTTCCCTTCAATATTGACTCAATGGCAAAGTTACAACGTCAGTTTTTCGGCCAACCGGATGAAGTGGTTGCATTTACTATTCAATTAGAAACATTTTTGTGCTGATCAAAATCTTTTGGCCAAATAGAAAAAGTTTCGCACAAGCGCAAGTCGTTCCAACCAATGCCACCACCTGACTTCAATGCATTTGGCCAAATATCGGCATGGGCTCTTGCTTCCCACATTGAACAAATCGTTGGGCCTTAAACCAACTACAATTTATGCCAAGACCTGGGCAACCGCAAACTCAAGGAACTTGACGCAAAGCCGCCAGCCAAACAGTTTATTGTCTCGGCCCCACTCCCAGCCCCTCCTTTATTGCCCATACACTAATTTGTCGTCGTTATGCAGGGTCGGGTGAACCATTCCCGATTTTAAACATTTACCGTTTACCTGGGCCTGCCTCGTAGCTCGTAGCTCTTAACTCGTCCCTCGCATACCCGCAAGTTCCACATAATTTACACACGCACATCGTCGCCCGCTATCTCCCTCTATCGCACAATCACATCCGCTTCCGCTGGCTGCGTGCGAGCACCCACTACCCCACTATCCCACAGGCTTCTCAGCTCTTCACACAGGCTTCGCAGTTCTTCACAGTTCTTCACAGTTCTGCACCCACGCCCTCTGTTGTGCCGTGCGGCATAAGTTAATGCGTCTTTATAGGCAATAAAATTTAAGTTTCGGCTGCCTGTTCAACTTCCCCAGCCTTCTTCAGCCTCATGTTAAATTTTTCATGAGCAGCGCTCCGTCGCCATCACAGACGCCGTTCTTCTCAAAATAAGTTTGGCCAAAACTTTGCTACAACTTAACAGAATTTAGTGGCTGGTTGTCTGGTCGGGAGCAGCAGCTATATAGCTGACCATCGCCCCTCGCCTTTCCTCGCCCACCTACACCGGCACAACTGCCTGTTGTTCTTGTTAATTCAAGCGTTTGGCTACTACAAAATTGAGTTTGTGTTTCTCGAAACTCCTTTCCTTTACGTTTTTTTTTTTATTTTTTTTACATTTTTTGGGCGCCCCGAAACATAATTGCAACTTAATTTTTATGAAGTTTTCTAAGCAGATTGGCGCTGTGCGCACCAAATGGGGTTTGCTTTTTGGCAAATTGTTGCTGAAGTGGAGAGATTATTTAAGCATGTCCGGCAAGAAGCGCTATGAATTATGAAAATTGTGTAAATGAGTTGCCTAATTAATTACCATATAACGTATTTCAGAATAGATTGAGCACACCATAATTCTAATTATTTGAACTGACCAATAGCTAGTATCAGCTATTAGTGGCAGCTTTTTGAGACTAGCTAGCCTCCTTCTCGTCTTATAGTTGTTGTGATTAAGGAACACAAAGTAGCATAACATTAATACTAAATTATTAAAGCGTATTTATCTTCCAAACGGCTTTACAATCTCGCTAGGGATGTTATTATATTTGAGCTATTCATTATCGAAATGATGAGGCTATTGGAATTGATAGCTTAAGAGTGCTCCGATTACGTAATATTTAAAGCAATTTAAGGGGCTTGGTTTTACAAACAACGCTCTACAGATCTTGGCTATAAATGCAGCCTGCCAATTTAATGTACAACCTAGGAGTTTATAAAACGAGCGCTAGCAAAGCGACCGAGCTAATGGCAGCCGAAGTAAACCCTTTGGGGCATTTACTGACGACGTAACTGCGACAACAAACATAACAACGGCAATAACAACAACATGCATACATAAATGAAGCGAAAAACAACAACAAAGAGCCCATATGACCACCCACTGAGAGTCTGAAAGGCACTTGTGCCTTGTTTCTAGAGCTGTTTGGCTTTATTCTGAAGCGTTGTGGGATATGGAATACGAGTATGGTTCGGGGTTGGTCGGCATGCCTTCAGGTGTGCGACGTGTTGTGTAAATATTTTGCTTAACACTATTAAATGTTAGCAAAAACACGCCCAGTCCGTTGCGAGTGTGTGTGTGTGTGGGTGTCTGTGTGTGTGTGTGCGT